TTTCTCCAAGTATAACTGCCATAAATTGGGTAGCGTTTATATTTTAATGGCTTTATAGTGTACTGCCAGTTGTTTCTTGGGCTTCCTTAACTACTTTATTCTTTACTTTCTCAATGATTTTGGCCACCAAAATGGGGGGGGGGAGCCCAAGTGGGTTAAAAAGTATTTTTTTTTAAATATAGTAGAGAACAGATGTAAGTTCTTTAAAGTAACCACTCACCCATTCCCTGAAATAGAATCCTAAAAATACAGTTGACCTACATTCTGACTTACAAGAGTATCACTTTTGTCCCTGCTATTATGAACTGTGTAAAACTTTTAAGCATTAGTGCACTTAGAAGAAAGGCTTCAACACTTTCTCTGCAGGGCTTGTTAGGTTTTGTTTTAACCCCATTTGGAGGTACAGAAGGTGAGAGTGACAGAAGAGAAAATCATGTCTCTTTGTGGGAGGAGGATGAGGTCTTTCCGACAATGTTGCATAGAAATCTGATTTGCCAGAGATTAAAATCCAAGGGTAAAATAGCTGTTAATGGGGTATTTAAAAAAAAATTAAGATATGTGTAGACAGTGAGGTATTACGCGATTTTAAGAAAAATACTGGTATGTACAGGTAAGTGAGACAAAAATCTGTTGAGGGAGGAAAGCAAAGTGTCAGGTATGTATAGGATGCTACCTTCCATGTAAAGAGGAGGAGAATGAGACTGTATAATCATACCTGCTTGTCTTTGCATCAAAGAAAACTCTGGGGTGAATGCAGAAGTAACTAACAAAAAAGTGATTTCCTGTGAGAAGGGTCTCAGTGGTAGGAAACCAGAAAGATAGGAGGAAAACTTACTGCTAAATACTTGGTATTGCATATTCATTAATGTATTACCTATTCATTAAGTTGACTTAGAGATCACAGAAGATAGTGATTAAAAATGCAGATTCCTTCCCTGGCCCATGTGGTTCAGTTGGTTCAAGCTTGTCTCATAGACCAAAGGGACATGGGTTCGATTCCCAGTCCAGGCACATACCCAGGTTGTGGGTTTGATTCCCTGGTCAGGGTGCATATGAGAAGGCAGACAATCAATAGTGTTTCTTTCACACTGGTGTTTCTTTCTCTTCCCCTGCCCCTCCCGCCCTCCCACTCTCTCTAAAAGCAATGAAAAGAAATGTCCTTGGGTTAGGATAAAAAATAAAAATCATATTCCTTAGTGAGTCCTGGCTTTGCCACTCACCGATTGGGTGAGACCTTCTTCAAATTCCCTCTCTCTGCCTTAGTTTTCTCAATCATAAAGTTAATTCTTGTGAGGTGCTTACAGTAATGTGTCATATAGTAAGCTGCTGGTATCAGTAGTAGTAGTAATATTAAACATCAGTAATTCTCATATCTCAAGTGTCTAATTTTTGTCACAGTCTTAAAAGTATTAGAAATGCCTGTTTCTTTCATCCATATGGTGTCATGTTGTAGCTGAAGTGGCCACAGTGAATTGGAGTTTGGGTTTTCTTGTTTCTCTTGGCCTCTGAAGTAGACACAATTGGGTTCACATCCCCAACTCCAACACTTCTCCCCACTGTGTTCTTTCGTAGGTGCTGTAAGAGATGCAAAGATCCTTTTATTGATTTGAACAGGTTTCTTTGTTGGGGAGGGCACTGTACTGAAGTCTCAGTTGAAGATGCTGTATTCTGAAAGACTAGGAAGGGAGATCATTTATTGATTCCTTTTTAAATTAATGTCTCTGGTCTAAATCTGCATTCAGGCAGATCCCATTTTATATTAGCTGGTTCTAGAACAGTCTGTAGAACTACATTTTAGAATGGGCTGGTAGAATTCTGCACTTGTTCTGAAACTATCCTAAGCAAGAACCAATGAGCACCAACCCCTTGCTTTTATTTGAGAGTCAGTTAAAATGATTCTCTGAACTGCGAATGACTAGTTCAGATTATACCTGAGGTTTGGGCTCATATGGGAGGTGGGAATCTGTCGTCAAAGCTGTTCCTTTGTTTTCTCTTCCTTGTCACTCCCTTTGGTCACCAGTTATGGACAATGTGTTGTTACTTAAAAGATGGCCAATGCCAGTGGCTCACCATCTGTAGGGCCTGTTCTTTGAGTTTCCTGTAGTGGGGATGACTTCTGTGATTAATAGCATCTTCTAGCAATCTTGTAGAAGACCCTGACTCAAGTACATGCACTTGTAAGTTACCTGACTGCTTAGGAACGAGGCTGTCTCAAGGAAATAAGGCACAAAGCTGGCTCTGTAAACGTGACTGGAAGATCTATTATGCCCTACTTGCCATAGTAGATTTGATTATATTCATTTTAGGGGAAATTGAGATACAGTGCTAAAGCACGTCGGCTGAGCAAATTCAGCCAGTTCGTGAGGGGCAGGCCAGGATTTAAGCTCAGGCATCTGGCATCTTGCTGCTGAGATGTAATGTGCTCTTCTCAGAGGGACGCTTTTCACCTGTGGGTCCGTAGAGTCTGATTATGATGTTTGAGTTCATTTTAAATAATTTAAAATTATGGGGAACTGTTGCCTCAGAAAGGCTATTATTTTACATACGTTATTTTAAATTAATTTTTTAATTTTGAAAGGTTACCAAAATGATACTTGTTGTAACATCTGTACATTCACCTTTTTCCTATTATCCAAAAACAGTAGAAAGTAAGAGGTTTTGTAGTCAGACCATTTTTACTTAAGAGGATGTTATATTTGAATGTTAACATGATAGAAGTGGAAACTATGCATTTAATTTAACATGACATTATTACTGAGTTTCATATGTCCACAAATCTGTCGGCATTTTTGCAGTATTTTTGCTCAAGCATTATTTGCTTTTAGTAACTGTGGCCTATGCCTTTTACCTTCCAGACAAAATTTAGAGATTATTTTAAAACGTGGATTTTTTTTTTTTTAATGACATAAACCAACAAAAATTCCACTGTCCTTGCTATGGATAAGAATCCACAGCTATGTCCTTGCTATGGGTAAGACATATTGAGAGAGTGCCAGAGAATAGAGTGCCCCCAGTTGCCTCAGGGCAGAGAAGCAGGAGGCCAGTAATTTTGACTTTCATCTAGATTTGAATTGTGGCTTTGCCACTTTCTAATGGACCTCACACAAAGCCTCACATTCCTAATCATGTTATCCTGGTGCTGGATTGTTATTAATTAAGAGATGACGTGTGTAAGGAGCCCTGCTCAGCACCTCCTGCCATAGGTAGCAGGCGGCTGTCTCCCCAGCTCTAGTCTGTGGGTTTTGGGCAGGAGGCTCATTTAGCACACTCAGCACCAAGGCCTATAAAACTGCTTTTTAACATGCCTTTGATGATGCTTAATGAGTAAAGTGTTTGAAGCAAAGGAGAACTCTTTCCTCCTTGTATTAGTGGATGTCTTTAGTGTGTCAAAATAGGTATAAAAGTAATGAACAGATGAAATGACAGTTCTGCCAGTGAATTTTAAAATATAAATGTGAAATAGCCAAATGAGTACTACCTCCCAATAAAATTGGCTAGGGGTTACATGAAAATTTAAAACTGAAAACAAAGCCCTTTGTTTTGAAATCTTTACTTTTACAACAACTTTTAAAATATTACTTTTTACCCTTATCTCCTGATTGCTTTTGGAAGCAATTGTTATTTCTTTTGTATAAATAATTGGCCCAGAGAAAGTAGCCCTAGATAGCTCCAACTTTCCCCCAGGTACATTTTATTTGGAAAATGTTATTAAATTCATAATTACTTATTAGCAGGGATTTTTATTTTTCAGAAATAATACATTCTAAAGAGTTTGCTTTTGCTTTAGTTGTGAAAACTATTATTTAGTTTTCTAAAATTGGAGGAGCTACAGAATTTGTGCATGTCATAGTATAGTTAAAATTTCTTTTTAAGCAAGTGGGCTTTAAGTATGAAATATCCTGTTCATGCAAATCAAGTTTACATTTACTAATGGTTTAAAACCAGCTTTGTTAGTACCCATGGTTTTGGCTTGTATGCTGGAAGGAGAATAGAGGGTTCAGGCAGATTAGAGTGTTGGGGTAATGCCTGACTCCTGCGTTCCGTGCGCTGACACATAAAAATTCTCCAGATTTGAATGTTACTATGGTGATATTAACAAAAACTTGACTTTTCAATGGGTATAGAGCTTAGTACACTGCCTGTTGGAGTAACAGACAAATCAGTCATCTTTCTGTGCCAGGGCTGATATCACTTAAATGCTGAAGTTTCTGGTGATGCAGAACTGCCACCCAGATACTCAGTGTCTGGGGAGGACATCTGTCTCCTTTCACAGTCCTCCTAATAGGCATAGATTACTCGGAGGAGGCAGTAGAATCTGCCGAAAAGAGTACCTTTCAGGGGTTTAATAGAAATAAAAGCAAGATCATTTTAGCTACATTTATTGATTCAGGCTTGTGATCCAGGCCCCATGTGAGGCGCGTTATTACATTTTCCCTAATGCATTTAAATGGCAGTTATTGCCATAGGGCTCCTGCCACTTGCTCTGTGAGTTTATGGTCTAGGCAGAGCACTTGGGCTCTGGATTGAGATGATCACTACTTTCAACCAGGAATGGTGTCTCGCTGGTGTTTGGAAGAAGAGCTCTGAGCTCTGTGAGACTAAAGGTGTTACTGTTTTTTTTTTTATGGTAACAGTACATTTTTGACTTTTTTTGAAGTGTAGGAGTACATACGCTGTTTCTGTCTTGGTCCTGGGAGTGGCTGTCTTTCAATGACTACTAGTGAGTTATTTTCACACATCAAATGAACAAGATATTTGAATGAGGGTGCCTTATAGTAATGATACTACTCTTTTTCTTTTAAAATTAATACCTGGGAGGTAAAGAATATGTTGTTTTTAATGGGAGTAAGGGGGTGGGATTGTGGTGAAAATTTACCCCTCAGAAACGGTACACAGGTTTTATTAAGAATTGCACTAGTAGACTGTGTGTTACGGGGAGGGGGGGAGTAGCAAGAATCTCAGGAATTTTCCTTATACTTTTCTCTTCTGTTCATTTCTAGTCTTTATAACCTGGCTTCACTGGAACTGAGAGAGAATCTTCTCACATACCTTCCTGAGTGAGTCTCTGGGGAAAGTAAGAGGGGTTTTTGTGCTGAATGAATTTCTGGAAGCATTTAAAAAAAAAGAAAAAAAGAAAAGTACTACAGTATTTTGTCAAAAAGAGGTTCTGTGTCTCATGGAAAGTTTGGGAGATGCCAGCCTCCTCTTAATGCTTCTTCCTATGCAGTATTAATAAAATCCAAATGAATCTTATTTTTGGAAACTAGTTTTAAGTGAGGAATACACATTGCTCGCCATTTCTAAGTATTCTCTAAGAGCTCTTTTTTTTTTTTTTTTTTTTTTTTAACATAGCTCTCTTACCCAGCTACGGAGACTAGAAGAACTTGATTTAGGAAACAATGAAATATATAATTTGGTAAGTCTGTATTGAAGAATGATTTGAATTTAACTTTTTCCTTAGTTACGAACACAGAATATTTTGAGGGAGATCTGTAGGGATACTTACAAACCAGTATTTCCATATATGTAGCTTGGCTACATTAAAGAATGTGCTCCAGTTCCCACAGATTAAGAATTGTGATTTGGAGTGTGGAGGGTCAGGACTAGAGATAATGAGCGTAAGTGGAAATGACTGGTATTCTTGAAGAGTGTCAGTGCTTTTTGGAAGGGGTCCTGATATTGGAGAAATTCCAACAAATATCCTCTACGGTACCCAATGATTAACTGTTGAAGTAGGATTCTTTCTTTCTTAATGGAAGACTACAAGTTGGATTTTTGTTACCATAACGTTATTTTATTTTGTTTTAGCCAGAATCAATCGGAGCTCTCTTACACCTAAAGGATCTCTGGTTGGATGGAAATCAACTGTCAGAATTACCTCAGGTAAGTGGTGATTTCACATTTTCTCTCCTAAAACAAAACAATAGCCATCACCACCCTCATGTGCCCCCTGCTTCTACATGAGGTTTTCCATAAAATGGATCTCATCAGCCAAAAACTTTGGTTGAAAAAGCACATTTGGAAAAATATATTGAGCATTTCATCATGCTATATGGCCATAGAAAAACTGAAAGCCTCAACCCACTATTTCTAAAGATAGTAAATATATCCTTTAGTTTGTGAAGTCTTAATTCTTGCTACTCACATGGATTATGTAAAGACCAGTAAATTTATAAATTACTGGGAGCCCTGATTCTTTTTTTAAAATATATTTTATTGATTATGATATTACAATTGCCCTGAATTTCCCAAATTGCTTCCTCCTCCTCGGACCCCCTTCCTTCCAGCAATCCCTCCCTTAGTTCATGTCCATGGGTCATGCATATAAATTCTTAGGCTTCTCCAATCCTATGCTATTCTTAACATCACCCTTCTATTTTGTACCTACCAATAACGCTTTTTAATCCCTGTACCTTTTCCTCCATTCTCCCTCTTCCCCCTCCCCACTCATAACCCTCCAGGTGATCTCCATATCTATGATTCTGTTCTGATCCAGTTGTTTGCTTAGTTTGTTCTTGTTTTTATTTTTGTTTTTTAGATTCAGTTGTTGATACTTGTGTGTTGTCATTTTAATGTTCATAGTTTTGATCTTTTTCTTAGATAAGTCCCTTTAACATTTCATATAATAAGGGCGTGGTGATGATGAGCTCCTTTAACTTCACCTTGTCTGGGAAGCACTTAATCTGCCCTTCCATTCTAAATGATAGCTTTGCTGGATAGAGTAATCTTAGATGTAGGTCCTTGCTTTTCATCACTTTGAATATTTATTCTAGCTTGCACTGTTTCTTTTGAGAAATCTGCTGGTAGTCTTGTAGGAACTCCTTTGTAGGTAACTCTCTGCTTTTCTCTTGCTGCTTTTAAGATTCTCTCTTTATCTTTAACCTTTGGTATTTTAATTATGATGTGTCTTGGTGTGGTCCTCTTTGGTTCCAACTTCTTTGGAATTCTCTGTGCTTCCTGAACTTGTATGTCTATTTCCTCAGCCAGACTGGGAAAGGTTTCTTTCACTATTTTTTGAAATAAGTTTTTGATTTCTTGCTCTTCCACTTCTTCTTCTGGCATCCCTATGATGTAGATGTTTACACGTTTGGAGATGTCCCAGAGTCATCGTCTTCTCTCATTTTTTTGAATTCTTGCTTCTTCATTCTGTTCTGGTTGACTGTTTATTTCTTCCTTATGTTCCCTGCTTCCTTCCCTTCACTATTGATTCCCTTTGGATTTTTATTTATTTCACTTAGTGTAGCCTTCATTTCTTCCTTTATGCCTTTGCAGTACTCAGTGAGTTCTGTGAGCATCCTTGTAGTGTTTTGAACTTTGCATCTGTTAGGTTGGCTATCTCCATTTCATTTAGTTCTTTTTCTGGGGTTTTGTTCTGTTCTTTCATTTGGACCATATTTCTTTGTCACCTCAATTTGGCAGTCTCCCTGTGTTTGTTTCTGTGTATTAGGCAGAGCTGCTTCACTCCTTGTCTTAGCGTACTGGTTAAGTTATATGGGGTGGAGTCTTAGGTATTCCCCAGGGTGGGGCAACCCACTGCACTGCTTTGTGGCTCTGTTTGTGAGGGAGGGGTTGGAGAGGGGACAGTGCTGCTGCCTGGTTGCTGGAGGCTTGCTTGCACTTGCCCTACTCCCAGTCACTTCCACCACTTGCCCAACTTCCCATAAGTGACTGGCGCCCCCCTAGCTGTTGCCCTGATGTTGGTTCCCAGATGGGGTGGGTTTGCGTTCATTCTAGGACCATGTGGGCCCTTTAAATGGACTCTTCTGAGAGACTGGCAGTTTCTTCTGCTATCCAAGCTTCCACTGGTTTTTATAGCCAGAAGTTATGAAGCTTTATTTTCCTGGCACTGGAACCCTGTGAGGCCTGGAGCTGGGATTGCTTGCTCCCCAGGCATCCTTCCCATTTTTTACCTACAGCACGTGAATGTGGAACTGTTCATTCCACTGAGGCCACACCCTGCTCTCTCTGCCCCAGCTTCCTGTCTCCGCCCCTCCTACTCATCTTGATGAATATGGCTTCTTTAAATCCTTGGTTGTTGGATTTCCATACAGTTTGGTTTTCTGGCAGTTATGGGTATTTTATTTTTGAGGTTATTTGTGATCCTTCTTAGGGCTGTGCAAGGAGGCAAAGCGTGTCTACCTATGCCTCCATCTTAACTGCAAGTCACACTGGGACCCCTGATTCTGATGGTATACATCTGTCACTTTTTGTGATGTGCCTTTCAGGCATAATTTTGATCATATTTTGCCTTGTAATAGTTGATGTAGCTGGACCATTATGGTGTTCGGGTTTTTTTCTGTTGTTACCAAGTATGGGAACCATGTTCCAGGTAAAATGACATCTTGTATAGACTTCTGAATACCTGGTCATCTTGTGGTATCCCAGTGAGCAGGCCTGCTTTCTGCTTAGTTGAGAGAGGAACTTAAGAAAGCAAACAAATAAACAGCAACAAATGGACATTTTCCTCTTATTTTTTTCTAAATATTACTGAATTTTATTCTTTTGTGTATAGTACAGCCAGTGTTAAAAATCAGGATAGATTTCATAATAGTCTAGGTGGTATTTGAAGATAATTGTGGTGCTGCCTCTGCTCAGCAGTGAGAACCAGTTGTGATGGGCTGTGCACTCCAGGAAGGGACTGGCGTATCAACGCAGGGAGGTCTTGACACTAGAAAGAAGTTCCAAGGTAAAAATTTTAATTGGTGTAGTGATAGCACTGGAATTTCCATGACATTATTTACAGCTAATGGAACTAGGAACTAACTTGATTCTATCTGAGGTCTTGGCTGCATTTGTGAAAAGGAAAGGAAAGGACAGGTCAGTAACTAGTGTGGGTGAGGATTTGATTAATACTTCGATTTCTCTACAAAAATATGAGAAATCCTGATTGAGAGAATTCTGGTTACTTCAGGAATCCATGGATGACCCCCCCTAACCCCCCAAAAAATACCAGGAAGTTGTCAGGAAAGTAATAAAATGTCAGCTCTTAGACATGATAGAGGGAGTATATGTGTAAACAGATGTGCATAAATGACTGTGCAAAAATGCCACATCTGAACACAAAGAGACGAAAATACCAGTGATTGCATTATAAATGGTTATTTAAACATCTCATTTCCTTTTCTTGTGTAAACGTTTATTAAATCAGGACTAAAGATATTGGACAGTTTCAAATAATTATTTTTGTCTTTATTGATGACAGAAAAGGGTAGGATGGCATCATTAAAAGGAATTAATGAAAACAGTAGAACAACTTCAGTTGTCTGGCCTGAAACCAATAGAAATGTAGTCTGATTTCTCTGGTTTCCTATAAGACAGGAAATTAAAGGGCAGGTCATAAGATGCATTTTGCTAAGAGATAATCTGGAAATAATGTTTAGATTAGACTAAATTACATATAGATTGAGGAATTTGTGCTTATGTAGATGCTGGAGAACCACTAGACTTTTTTTGAGTAGAAGGGTGGTCTGATTACATGACTAGAGTTGGCTGTGTTTCCAGGAGGGAAATAAGAAACAAAGTTTGCAGAACAGACCTGGGTAGACAGAGGCCAAGAGGCAGAGCCAGCAGTCCAGGTGAGAGGGTAATGTGAGTGGGAATTTAACTGAGTGGCAGTGGAGTGGAAAAGTGGAAGCAATTAAAGGAGAGAAAATATTCATTTTTGTGAATGGAAGTTAAGGTAGCTCTTAAATAACTGTTAGACTCATTCAGCTACTTGTCCCACTCTCAGGTAGACTTTTTTCCTTAAAAACAGTATGCTTCTCTTTTCTCTTGATGTTAAATGTGTCAGTGGGACGGTATGCCCCAGTTTTTCTGGGAAGCAGCTGCATTGATGTTTGTTGTTACAAGTCCTACCTGCCATGGGAGATAAAAAGTCGATGATTTCTCAACAGAGAAAATCTCAGGGTCACCCTAAAGTGCAAGATGGTTACTGAGTGATTAAGTCCAGACTTGGAGAACTGGATTCCAGCCTTTTCCCCTCGCTAATTGTGTTACCTTGAAGTCATTTGTTCTCTCTCTCGGTGCCAATCTCTTCATCTGTTAGGTTGACGATTCCTTGCCTGCCTGAAGTTGGAGGACTTGGCATCCCTCCCAGCTTCTATGTCTGTGATTCATACAGCTTCCCGTTTTCATTGGAAGGGGGTCTGGAAATGTATTCCAGCTTTCACATTTAGAAGAAACATCCATAGGACAACTTTAGGATTCGACTGCGAACTATCACTGTAGCAATTCCTCTGTACTATGACAGGTTTAAGCATGAGTTTATTTTTCTGTGTCACTGATGTAGGAAATAGGAAATCTGAAGAACCTGCTGTGCTTAGATGTCTCTGAAAACAAGCTGGAAAGACTTCCTGAAGAAATCAGTGGCCTGACTTCATTAACAGATTTAGTCATTTCCCAGAACTTACTAGAAACGATTCCGGATGGCATTGGTAAGCATTGAAAATAACTAGTAAGGTGCTGGCTGTTGTCTCGAGCATTTGGAGGATACTCTGATCCTTTGGTACCACACTTAGGAGCTGGGGATGTGTTTCCTTTAGTTTCCTTTTATTTTTTTAAAGAAGAAATGCAAAAACTAATACAATTTAAGTTTTTCTATATGCAGATATTTCCTTCACCCTGGTTTGGTAGCAATTGTAAGTATTATTACTTACAATTATTTACTCATATCCACTTCATCCACGCCTTGTCTCAATGATTTCAGGAGGGATTAGTTCAAATAATAGAATGTGTTTCAGGCATATGAGCAATCACTAAGAAATTTCTAAGTGAGCATTCTAAATAGTGTAGGAGAAGTAGCTTTGACCTTATTGCATAACCTGGGCGGAAGGGCTGCTAGAGGTAACATGGTATGCTGGAATTGAGCCTTTTCTGATACATTGAGAATAATTTTTCATTGATCATTCTATGCTATTTCCTTTAAAAAAAATTAGTCCAGACAATTTCCGTTACCATAAAGGTATTCAGTCTAGTTTAAGAAAATAAACACAAACAGAGAAGGTATAAACAGATGTGGACTGGCAGCTCCAGCATAGCAAAGCTGCTTAGAAATTGTAAGAAGCCATATTTAAACATTTAGTTGTCATAGAATTGCTGTCTTTGACCATTATTTAACTTTTATTCAAAACATCAAAGGAAGTTTTTTGAAAGGTTTTCAGCAGTTGGAGAAGCTGTATGACAGGACCACTGCTTTTCTGGTGTTTGGCCAGGATGAAAGTGGTAACCAATAATGGCAACTTGGCAGCAGGATAGACTTTGCCTTTTGGTTAAGGCTGGATGGAAGATTGACAGGGATTTTGACTTGAGGTAGAAATGTTCATTGAGAATCGTCTGTGGCATCTGAAAGCAGTTGTAGGAACTGGGGGTGTTTTCTTGTTTGTAATGCCCGACTTCAAGCATTTGAAAGGCTGTCATGGAGGAGGAGGAGATTTATTACATCTTCCAGTTCAAATGGTGAAATGAAAGGATTGGAAGTCTCACCGTGATTTAAGAAAGAGCTGTAAAAGAAATATTTGTTAAGAATTAGTCTGGGCTGCTTAATGAAGAAAGGAGCATCCTGTCACTGAAGGACCCCAGGGGAGGCTGCAGGACCACTTCCCGCTAAGGAAGTTAAGGAGGCTCCTCTGTTAGGTGAGATGCATGGGGGATGCAATTCGTTGTGCTCTGCAGAGAATGCTAGTGTGTCTCCTGACAGGACAAGTGGAAACCCTCTGGGGACAGTGTTAGTAATTATTGATTATGCTAAATGAAGACGTGAGAAGGTTAGTTCTGCTTTACCCTATAGGGGCACATAAGGCAAGTTAATCTTTTTGACATTTCCCTCTCTCCAGCTTTATGTCTCTTTAAGATAGAGGCTGCTTTCTAATTATCCTGGAGAAGATGTTAATCATGCCAGCTAGTCTAAGTAGATAACAAAGGACATCTGCTCTGTAGGCCAAGTCCCCTGAGTTTTAGCTGAAGATGAGAATCTGAAAGATACAGGACTTTCTTCACTCAGGGGGCTCTGAGGAGGCTGCAGTAAACAGATTCTTCTTTTCCATGGCCTGAGGCATCACCAGTAAGTCCATCTTCCTGCTTTGAGTGTAATAGACCCATTCCTTAATAGGATTTTTCAAAGACTACCATCTTACTCTCTGTATATAGAAATACTTCAATATAGGGATCTTCACTAAGTCATTTTCATTTATAAGTGATAAGTAAACTGTATATTGTTTTTAGTAAGGAGAATTCTTGGACTAAGATAAAAGTCTGTGTCCTCTGTACACAAAAATCTCTTGTTTTTAAAGATCCATTAAGAGATCTTTAAATTTAAAGAAAAACTTTAAACTTAAATTTATATTTAAAAGAGTTTTTCTTTAAATTTTCTGGTTTTGATATGATATTTTTAGGTAGTGACTTTTAAAATGATTTGCTCCTAATTGCTGACCATTTTTGACATTCTGAACAAAATATTTTAATTCTGAATCATTAGTGATGGAAATGAGAATGATACAGTTTCTTTGTGAACAGCTGGGTAAGGAAAAAATTAATAACTATTTAAAACAAGAAAGACCACCAGATATGAAATAACAGAGTGATGATTAGGAAAACAATTGTAACTAATGAGTTTAAATAATGCTTTTTTTTTTTTTTTCTTTTTTTACAGGAAAACTAAAGAAGCTATCGATCTTGAAGGTAGATCAGAACCGACTAATGCAGTTGCCTGAAACAGTTGGGGACTGCGAAAGCCTCACTGAATTAGTTCTTACAGAAAACCGACTCCTGGTGAGTGTGGTTTGCACATTCAAATGAATATTGATGATGTGATTCCTATATTATAAAGACTTATTAGGGTAGATTCTACTTATTTGTAATATGGGTGGACTAAACGGAAATTTTCTTACGTTAATGTGAATAAGGGACTCGTGAAGCAAATACATACCATGAAGGTGAAGAAAATGGTATATAAGCCCCTCTGTCAGGGTGTGCCACCTGTGGTGCTCACAGTGCGGGGACTGACACCCGACCGGGGTCACCAGGCCGGGGTAGGGAGAAGCCACTGTTGGCGGAGGTGCCTGTGCTTCTGCTGCAGCATCCAAGGGCCTCCAGGGGAACTGCTGTTCTCTCTGGCTTCTTTGGCAAGTGGGAAGAATAGGAGAGAAGGGGCAGAAATGGTGGTTGGCTAGGGAAAGCCTTGGTGGGACTGGGGAAGGAATGCTCTTATGGGGGGAGCCAGACAGTGGTGGCTGCTGGGCTTGGATCTGGGATCTCACCCCACCCTAGAAATTGAGGGTGGTGATGACACAGGTGTCCCATACTTGAACCGGGTTCTTCGTCCTTCCTGGGGCGAAGGCCTTGGCATGTACCGCCTGCCGGGGTAGGTCAGCAGGGTGACAGCGAGTCTCAGCTGCCTTCCCACTGCCTGCTGCCGCCTCTGCTGTCCTCTGTCACTTCTTCATCTTCTCCTTTTTCTCTTTTTTAATGGTCTTGTAGCCACTGTTTTTTCTCCAGTTTACTTTCCTTTTTGCTGTCTTTACTTTGTCACTTTATTTTTTTACCCAACTTTTCCTTATCCTTGTTCCCCTTTTTTCCCTTTTCTTCTTTTTTTTAATAAAGATTAAGAAATGCTTTTTTTAGGTGAAAAGAGCAGAAAAAGACAGCAAGAGTTTGTTCAAAGACAGAGAATCAGCAGGGGGTCTGGCAGCATCTTCCCTCAGGCAGCTCAGACTCCTCAGGCAGATGTGGAGGAAGTGACCAGATTTCTGCCCTAGTTTGTGGTGTTAGGCTTACAGATACTAATCATAACAATTTTTAAAGTAACATTTACCCTTGGATTCCTTGAGAGTGTTGAGACCCCCACGTGGGCCCTGGCCTTGTTGCTGTAGGACCCTGTGCTCTGTACCCCATCCCATGCAGCCCCCTCTCTTCCTCTGGTGTCACAGCACCCTGCTCAGGGTTCGAGTCCCTGCCCCAGCACTGTGGCTTCCATAGGCAGCCAAGCAGTCATGTCAGTGTGGTTCCCCGCAGGGAAGGGGGAATACTGAAGACATTAAATTCTCACTTGAGGAGCCTTCGTTACCTCTTTACTTACTAGGTGTTCCTCTGTTCTCAACAAAAATGCAAAATATTTAATTCCATATTCCCCAAGTGAAATTTACAAATATCTGATATTCAGGAAGAACTATTATTTCTGTTATTGGATGAGATTATATTCTTTATGTTTTTGAAAAGATCTGTTTTACTGTGCTGTGTTAAAAGTTAATAATAAAAATGTTATTTTAACAGACCTTACCTAAAAGCATTGGAAAACTTAAGAAGTTGAGCAACTTGAATGCAGACAGAAATAAATTAGTGTCTTTACCCAAAGAGGTATGTGCTTTTAAAAAAATAATAAAGTAATAATTATGAAGAAATAATAACACAGGAGGGATCAGAAATGTCAAATACTTTTAAAAGACTTACGTGGTATTTTTTTAAAGGCATGAACTCTCATCTGTGAGTATAGAGACAGTTGGAGGAATTATATCAAAGAGTGACCATCAGTAACATTGAAGAAATTAGGCGGGTATCTTTCTCTTAAGAAAGGGAGAGATCGACATTTTGGGCTTGACCTACAGAGAACAGTGACACCATCGACAGAGATGGGTGATTTGGGTGTTTGTCAGAGGAAGTGGATGACTTTGGGTTTGATAGAATTTAATGTGAAATTAAACTTCCCTGTAGCCATTGAAATGATAAAAATGGGACTTGATGCAACCCTCTTCCTGGGCAGAGACTGACCCTGGGCATTGTTCATATCCAGGAGAGTGAATGAACTCCTCACAGAAGCATCCATCTAGAGGAAGGCAAATGGGAAACATAGCCAGATTTTTAGGATTTTTTTTTTTTTTTCCTGTCAATGCTTCAGGCAGGAGAAGCGAGACCGTTACTCTCTGTTGTGGAGAACAGTTTAGCGGACTTAGAGGCTAAGTTCTGGCAGGGAGGTGAAAATGCTGAAAACGAGAAGGGAGCCTATAGCATATTAAACAAGGAGGTGTCAAGTGTGTTGTTTAAAAAGAAGGCTTACTTCCTATCAGGACTAGGAGCACTTGATCAGAGATGGGTAGTGTTGAGCTTGAACTTGTATTATAGCAATATAGCCCCAAAGTAAGTTTAAGCCACCATTTTTCCCTCCATCAAATATTGGTGAGTCCACTCCCCTATGTCAGGGCCTCACATAAAAAGGTGTGCGATTGTGTGAGGCAAACACTAGAGTTTCCTTTGTATTTCTCAGTTTTGACACTTTCCACTGTCCATTTTGGAATAATTTCAAAGCTGCCATTTAACCAGTCAGAACTTGAGGGGTTCTTATATTCCTGGGATACTTCTCAGGGTGTCAGCACTTGGCCTGATTTTTTTTTCTTTCCTTTATTCATCTTGTACTCTGTATTTCAGTCTGCTCCATGTGTTAGATGGCAAGCGTTCATGAATGGAAGCACAAGGATGTTTATTATATTAGGTTGGCCAAAAAGTCCATTTGGTTTTTTTCCATAAAATAAAAGACACATTTTTCATTTTTACAAATAACTTCATTAATTTGGATATGTTGAGTATGTTGGCTACCTCCTATCTCCCACTATTGGCTTCTAGTGGGTAGAGGCCAGGGGTGCTGCTAAACATCTTCCAATACATGAGACAGCCCCACAGCAAGGAGTTATTTGGCCAAAATGTCAGTAGTACCAAGAAACTTCACAAAGCACTTTTGACACATTTGATCAATCACAGTACCTTCTGCATATACTGCATAGATCTTTTTTTGCATTTCAACCTTTCTTGAAATAATCAACCATAATACTCCAAAAATGTTCCGTGTCTTCTTCTGTCTTCAATATTTAAATGGCTGCACAAAAATTCACCAATTTTGATGTTTTTTTAAAATGCACGCTGACATGACAACTGTCACAGCATAATCTAACAAAATTGTTTCAAGTGAAGTTAAAGACAACTAAGCACTACTAGAGCCATCATATGGAAAAAATGTAACGGACTTTTTGGTCAGCCCAATAAATGTGACCATACTCTGACACATCCTTAATTTGAACACTGGTACCTAAATAAAACTGTTCCCAACTGTTTTAAGTCTACATCTCAACCTAATTGGGACACAACTAAGAGATTCTGCTAATCAAAACATTTTGGTTCCAGGCTTTAAGTAATAGATCAAAACACAGAGCTGAACATTATTCTGAACATTAATTTTACTCTTGTTGAATAGTACACATAGATGGGTGATAGATCGGACACACACACATGCACAGAGAAGTAGAAAAGATTTATTACTTTGTTTCTCAACGCCATGTACTGACTAGGTACTTTCATGTATGTTAACTCATTGAATCCTCATAATAGCTTTGAAGGTCATGGGATTTCCTCATTTCACAGATGAGGAAACTGAGGCCAATGAGGAGCTTTCCTTACTAGGGCTCCCGTAGGTGGGGGTCTGTAGAACTGGGCTGCAAAGATGTGTCTCCCAACAGCCAGCTCACCGCTCTTTCACTGGCTAGTAACAGCGTGGCCACTCAGCTCATACTGATTCAGCACAACCTTTACATCTGTGTGACCTTGGAGTGTGGCAGGACCATAATTTGGTTAAAAAAAAGTCAAATTATCTTTAGTTTGGACATTTTAGAAAATTAATACATTTTAGGAATATTTCAAGGTAAATGCTGAAGAGAGCAGTTTTACATATAATGTTAACAGTCCCCACTTTTACCACCCACCCCCAACTTCCCCCTTCTCTCTCTTTTTTTTTTGATTCTCTATTTCAAAGGAACACGTGCATTCTAGACAAGAACTTCAGGATTTTATTTTTGTAAGACTGTCACCATCATTGTAGGGTTAGTCCTCTGTGCACTTTAAGAGAATGAAACCTGTACTTCGTGTTTCCTTTCAGAGGGTTATGCCTAGTGCATGCTGTGTGTCTGCATAGATTTACTAGAAACAACTTTTCATGATTTGAAAAGTGTAGGTATTTGTAGCTTCAAAGCATTTTACCTAGCTATCACATTTTATTCATTTTTCGAGAAATTCTGATTGGTTTTCTGGCATCTAGAGTTTAGTAAAGGAATGAAGGCTGTGCCTGTTCCATCAGCTGCCTGATAAAGTAGAGAATGTTGAGGCTTTTCGGAACTGGATCTTCTCCAGCACACCTTCACTCCTACTCACGTGCACTCAGCTCCCTGGCTAGGAAATGCACTGAGCATGTGTCTCCAATTCAGCTGTGGGTCCCAGCTTGGTAACCCGGCAGAAATGGTTGAATGCTTGCCTCTGACCATCGGGGCTGAGCAGCCAAGTCCCTGAGGGCCTCCTGACCTCAAATTGCGTCATGTTGGTCTGGGCTGTACCATCATGCCATGAGTCTCTGTGCAATGAATGTGGTAGACCCTATGACCCTGTGTGTGTGTGCATGTGTGGGTGTGCGCGGGGCGGGCTGGCTTATGTCCAGTGACCACATGTGTATACTCGCTCTGTCTCAGAACTTGATACAATTTGATCAAATTCTGCACTTTCCTGATTGGATTCTTTTCTTTCAAACCTTTACTACTTTCTCTTGAGCAGTTAAGTTGCATGCATGACATATCTAAACAGAAATGCTGACCAATTTAATTTATGTGCCAAAAACCCTTAGTTGTAGTAATTGCCATTGGTCTGGTGTGCTGTGTAGTTAGTTCTTCCTAGTTTTTGTCTTTTTAAAAATTTGATAGTATTATATATTATCAATTTTATATCACAGCTTCTTAGTGTGTAGCAGCATTTATTTGCATTTTTTCCCCAAATGATTGAGGGGAAAATATTTGTACTGTGTGGGTCACAATAATAGATTGTTTGTGTTTTGTGGTGTTATTTGTAGTAAACATTTGCAAATCAATGAATGTCTCTTGTTTTCTTAATTGTTAGCTGCTTGGAAATTTAGAAAAGTCAGGTAAACTTGTTATCTTGTAAGTATTGTTCAGACCACAGTTGCTTCTCTAACTTCCATTTGCTTCATAAATGCATGAAGATTCAAATCGGCTGACTGCTTTGTGTGTACTTCATTGTAAAATACCGGGCATTTTCCTCTAAACTCACTTTTTTTTTTTAATGACTGCATGGCCTAGAACCTTTTTTGTTATGTCAGATTTGTTCAGATTATTTTCTCTCAAGAGAATGCTTTTCTATGAATTACATTTTAAGTTATTCAGAAACTCTCAAAAGCATAACTTGGCAGCTCATCTGTCTTCACTAAATTCCAGTTTGTTGGCACCATTCTATCTCTAATGGAAAGGCTAGATTTGCTTTATTTGCTACATGTGGCATGCTTCTGATTGTTCAAGCAACTTGTTTTAATCTTTTATTTCTCATCCTGTTGCTTAAATATGTATACCTCTGGGAAAAGGAGGTTCCCTAAAAAAATCTCATAATTTTTAGAGGGGAGAATGAAGAAGAGACGGTGTTGTAGTATGATTTGTGGATAGTCAGGGCGTTGATACATGTGTGATCATGGGTATGATGAAAGACAGCGAGTAACTTTGTAATATTCCCCAAACAAATCTTAACTTTAAATAGCCTGGACCTTAAAGAGTTTCTGATGGGAAGAAATTGAGTATATTTCCAAGTTAAATCCCAGCCTTTTGTCTGCATTAAGTCAAAATGGTAGTGACCCTAACTACATCACACCTATCCGGTCAAGTGAGACAAATAGGATTTGCAGATCATTCATCAAAGCTTTTCTTAACAGGCGATCTGTCAACATCAATTACCCATAGGTATTATTGTGGTATTCAGAAATGTCTCTAGTGATCAAGTATGCATTTTGTGGATAGCTTTCTGCCTTCTTCTTACAATTTAAAATTATTTTAGTGAATAATTTAGACTATTCCCATTATATTTTAAATGATATATTGTTAAATAAAAGATAATGTAAAAATCTAGAAATACTAGAATAAAATATAGTTGACCATTGGATTTCAAGATGGAGAAAGCATTCCTAAACTTCAGAGAGGAAATAAGTCATAAAAGAAACAGTTGATGCATTTATTTGTCTATATAAAATTGAGATTTCTGATCTTTAAGAAGGTACAGACAGCCCTGGAGGCAGGGGAACATTTACAGCATTACAAACGAATGAGCTCTCTTCTTGCTCTGTTAGAAATTCTTTCACATCATTGAGAAAAAGATGCTCCCACTATAGAAAAGTGGACAAAAATGAAAGCAAAGAACCCCCTTTCCCAAGAATCAATAAGTGATTCATAGAAGAAAAAAATAGAAATGGCTATAAATATGAAAAAAACTATAGCCCTGTCAGTGTTCACAGAAATGTTGATGGAAGCATTTTGACTTGTCAGATTTTC